GTCAGTGTTGAATAAGTTCACCAATGAAGAGCGACTCAGAATTGTACCAAACAATTTTTTATTGAAATGAATAGCTGTGTGCTAAAACCAGGTGGGAGAGGGGGAGTGCTGGTGTCAGTGCTTCTTGGCCTTGCTGGAGATGCGGTACTTGCGGTTACTGCTATACCAGAGCATCAGGGGGATACCGATGGAGGGGAGGGTCATCACAGCAAACGCAGCCCAGTCAAGCTGTGGGGCAGACAGAAGTCACATTATCATCTTCATACTTAACAAATCCAAATTTGTTTCAAAAAGAGCACCACAAAAAACAGGAAAGGAGAGAACTCTACTTTAGTACATGTAGCCTAGAGGGTACGTTACAATACAAAATGTATCTCCCCCACATTTGGCTTAAAATCTAATTTCTGACAGTGACTATTAACTGAATCTTATCTAGTTCTTACAATGTGAGGAGAGAATTTTCTGTCATAGTCCCTCTCCGGCATGATTCCGCCCTCTCCAGGCCCGCTGGTGTAGCCGATCTGCGGCTGGGCACCTTCTGAGGGCACGTAGGACAGCTCAGCAGCCGTGAAGTTGAACTTGCCAGACTTCAGCGGTGTCAGGACAATGGAGTGGGTCACATTAGTGCCACTATTGTTGAAAGTCAAGGTCAAAACAACAAGATTCTTTCAAAACAACAATCTTCTTCCAATGAAATATACATATATGGTAAGCTGACTAACAAGAATGAAAACATCATTCATCATGACGTTTTCAAAATCATATCCAGTTGCTTGAGTAACTGCTTTTTGGCGTATCGTATTACCTGGATGTCTAACCTTCATTGACGAAGAATGAAAACAACCTTTAACAACAACACTGGCATTACTTGGCATAGAAGTGTCCAATTGGCTGATGATGATGCATTGTTACTTATGTTACTTTTACAGCCTTTTCAATGATGATAAGGATACGGAGCGATTCTGGCCCAGTTGACTGTTGGCATTCCGTGTTTGACCTTGAAGTCTGATTCTGGGAAGCCCTCGTCAGTCAGCTGCACATTCAATGCCGCACTGCAAGTAAGAGACAACCACAAAATGCTTCAGAACCTTTCAAGTTGGAGGCAACATCTATGCACGACTTTTTACAAGCATTTACTAAAATGGTAAATTTGCAACCCTTTGCCCCTGCCATATGCCACAACAAACATAATATTGAGAATAGTATGGCAAAATTAAGACTTCATACATGTTGTTTTCAGTCGTGTGGCAATGTGTATAAACATACGATAAAATTCCAACAGTTCCGCACCTTGTGCCTACATTGTAGATGCTATATGTCACAGTCAGGTCCCTTCCTTCCACCAGATACTGGTTCTGAACATGTTTGGCTGCCAGCAGACGAGCCACATTGTCGTCTGCAGAGCCTGCCAGGCACACCAGGCCGAAGATTGCAAATGCTGTGAGGATTCTCATCTGGAACAACAGAGTCAAGTTAGAGACGTGCTGTGTAAGAACTGGTTCCTAACTAAAGGTTGATGTTGAATGTTGTGCTTTAAAGCATATCTAAATGCTGAAGGTGGGGAGGAACAGGAAGGGATGTAATACTGGCTAAGCAGTGTTCATACTCAAGTTTGACTGGTTAAAAATTGACACAATGAAGAGTGGCCCAAACTGGAATCCCACAAATTATTAATAACTGGCCAAAGTCTTTAATCTTCTCTACTCTTAAATAATGAAATATAGAAATTATAGAACTTTACTCCATTTACTCATCCAATTACATGTATACCACTAGTTAATGGCATCTGCGTAGTTTCTTTCAATGTGGCTGATCCTACCCACTGCACATAGCAATAAAATTATTCAAACACAGAGCCCCCCCCCCCCAATCCTCATTTACAACGACACTTGTTTGTTAGGACCAAGGAGGTTTAAAAAGCGATTTGATTGTTAAGAACTGAAGATGAAAGTTCTATAAAAATAAGAATACTAGTATGATACACCGACAAGACCTAAGTATTCTGTAAGTTTTTATTGTTAATAGATAACAGCTGGGGCATAAAACACACTAGTTATATACGCAATACACATCAAGTGCACACACACACACATACGTGGCACTTTTATGGGGGAGGGGGGCGACAGCTTGCGTTAAGTTCTTGTTCTTAAGTTCCCATGTTTAGCCACCTTTTAAGACATAGGTATCATAATGACAATACTGCTTACCAATATGATAAACAGGCTAACTATGAATTACATGTGAACCCTTCAAACGATTTCACAAATGTGTTTTTGCGAATCGATTTAGTGAGTCGCCAGCTGAGTAGACAAATCGACCTTTCACCCCTCCTAGTTTTCGGCAAGATATCTTCACACAAAGACCACGGTATATCCCTATACTAAGTTCCCTGGTGAAATACATCATTATAGAAGTCACGACCAAGTAAAAACTCTGAGTGTTTTAGGATAGCGGGATAATCCTCGATGTTCTGGGACGATACAACATCACCTACCTCGTGTGGGGAAGTCTTGACCAGGAAGAGAACGCGTCAACAACATCCGGGTACTCGAAAGGCGCCACCTAGCGGCGAAGATGAGTCCCATCCTGCTAGCTACTCATCACAGAAACAGGGTCCACAAAATGTTGGTTTCTACATGACTTCATAATGGCTAAATATACGAGTCTCGATCTTGAGTAAAGACAGTGACAGAAATGTTGCTTTTTAGACCATTTCATTAAAAAGGGTGCTACTGTAACAAGTCTTTTCTATTCATGTCAAAAAAGCTCAAATCGGCCTACAGGCCGATCCATTGAGGTGATGGAAGAGGTTGAAGCTAGGAGCAAGGAGCTTATATCATTGAAGTTACATGTTTCTTTATCGGATATGCGTTCTCAGAAACCATCTGTGACTTACGTTATGCATACACCAGCCCCAATGAGTTTTTAAGACAACCCCGTGTCAAAATACCACATTTTAAATGAAGTGCAAATGACTGCGTGCTAAATCACCCTTGCTGAACGTACGGGTGATGGGTGGGACCAAAATCATGCGTGGGAAAACTTGTTTTTACCCATTCTGACTCCAAGGCTAATCATTTTCGATTCATGGTCTCGAAAATAGCTTGAAGCGCCGTTTATGACTTGTTTTTCTGACCTGGAAGATTCTGCAGGTGATGGGGAATGATTTTACCTCCTACGCACCAATCCCTGTGCTGCATTTGGCTTCCGATTGGTCGGCGCTGATTGGTCATTGATGCGGAGAATGAATGATGGTCTTGTTTTGATGGTGAGCGGTGCCCTGGAGGCCTCGGTCGATAATGTCGTCTGCGGTTATGAATATCATAAAAACAACTCAACAAAGCCCCCACGTGCAGGGCGGCTCACGTGTGAAACGTTGAGCAAAAACAACTGCGCAACAAAATGGATACCTTCTCTTTCATGGCGTAATGGAAACCTTCGACAAATAAAAGCAAATACTACAGTGAGCGTGCAGTAGATATAACGGATCATCTATAGTACACAAATATGTCATGTGCAAACGATTCCACACTTTTGTTTTGAATATCCCTATATCTATCTCGTGCATTAATATATTACAATCAGGAAAGGGTTTGAAAATCCGTAGGTGAAGGTTAGACATCCAGGTAATAAGATACGCCAAAAAGCAGTTACTCAAGCAACTGGATATGATATTTGGAAACGGTTTGAAAATCCGTTTGTATATGAGCATGTACAACTCAGGCAGAATCATCAGAGCATGTACAACTCAGACGTCTTTTTTTTTTTGTTTGTTTCCAGATTGGGAGTCTACTTCTGAATCCCACGAGTAGTTATTTTTAACATGTGTGAAAACTTGATACTGCGAGTTTGAAAATAACGGACTTTCTTTCAACAATACAAACGGATTATTATACTAAAAACACACACGCAGATGTCACGAACGGACCATATGGGTGGGTTCCTAAATAATCCGACATCATCTATCCGAGCGCACCGCGGACGACTTGTTTACTCCAGAGTCAGTCATGCGGATACATTTTCACCTTTACGACAGCGCGGCGGTTAGATCAAACAAAAGGAACCACATGATACCGTTCAGCAACAACCTATCCCACCTTAAACCATCTGAACACACCCAGAACAGGGGAGGACCGCTGATCAAGAAGTAGGGGTGGAGAAGTAGACTGATAGTGAACACATACATGCCCATCAGAAAGAAGGAAGACCTTATGATATGCGCTAAACATCATTTTCGTCTCATTTAATAGTAGTAGTAGAAGAAGAAGAACTGGTCTACTTATCATTTGATCAGACATTTATAAATACAACATCGTAGCCCATGAGTAAATTACTGTGTACGTATAAATCTCACTTATGTTAACATCATAATACGAGACAAAAACAATAACTCAGTGTACAAAACACGACGACGTTGGACGAAGATGATTTATGGAACAAAAAGATAAGCAAATTTGAAATCATCATCAATGTCATCTAGTTTTGTTCTTCAACATGCCGGCAGTTACGCCGACGTGAGTTGTCTATATGAGAGGCTGGGGAGTGCCAGGAGTGTTCATGTATCTGATGCAGCTTGTTTTTCCTCCGTTCACGTACGTGGAGGGAATCGGGAATGACACCTGCGCACGTTTCCAGCCCGTCTGCACCGCCCACGTCCCACTGTGCAGAGCCTGGCGGGCGGCGTATTTTCGGCGGCGCCCTGGCTCGCAGCCAAATGCGTTCGGAATCAGAACGGCAAGATTCTCATAAAAACACCTCTTAAGTAGCTCCACGGGAAGCCATGGTTTCCATGGTTACCGATGGTGACGTAGATTACCTGTCTGTATAGCTTTTCGTTCTAATGATGGTGAATTATACATATGCATATAAGTTGTTTTGATCGCTAACGGGTCGATAAGGTTTGCGTACAGATCCAGAAATAGCCCTGTTGTTTACCTGCCCGTGAGTTACTAGTATGTGTAGTAGCAGGTAAATTTAGATTGTCCCGTTAAGTGGGTCAGTATGCACTGGCTGTAAACTGTAGGTTCAAGGTAGTAAAATAGTAGGTATACAGATAGTCGTGTGGAAAAAAATATACCATTCATATTACGCTTAATAATGACGAAAATTAAACTGACGCTAAAAGAATGTCTGTCCAACTTTGAAAAAAAAACGTTCGCCTTCATTATAGTACAGCAAATGATATGTGTGTGTGGAATGAATGGATGAATGAATCGATAAGGGGTGTGATCAGAACCGACTGGGTATTTCAAAGATATAACGAATAATTCAGGTCAGAGTACATCACCAGATGATGTCTGGAATTACAGCATAATGTTGCAGGGGCAACATGGAGCAACTGACGCCCACCCGGTAAAATGAATTCGGAAGCTTTGTTGTTTTCACGGCAGAGAGATCGAGCGGGAATTGATTTGATGAGCCCAGCACCGCCGATTTCTTTCTCCTCTCTTGCTTGATTGACGGGTGGATTATGGTAGTTTGACGGGAGGATCCGCGGAGCACATGTTAATGAAACTCGTGTCTTATCGCCGCCGAATCTGTCCCTCCCGTACGGGTCTTCGGATGACACACGGTGCTTTAAATGTTCTCGAAGGTATTTCACTTTGTGCTTGCGCCAGCAACTTGACTTATCAATAAACCTTCTATAAAGACAAGGGACACACGAAGCATCCAGTTGTAATACCCCACCTCTTGTGGATACCGGTGTTCTGAGTAAAATTTTGTTGGGATCTTGAATCTTATTACTAGTATTTCAATATGTCGAGAACATTACGATCAACCGAACAGGATGCAATGCTTAACTAATCCTGGCAAACAAAATGTGTAAGTAGTGCCTTCGATGCAGTCATCATGCATCCGGAAAAAACGGAAATCCGACATTTTGTATACCGTAAAGACGGTGCTTATGGTTTGAAAATAGCTTTGTCTCTGACTCACGTCGTACGTCGCCTAACTTTATCACGCTTCTAGCAGTTCCTCCACTGGTCAGGCCCCTGAGGGAGATTGTGTAACACAGGCTAACGCCGTACTGATATCGTCCCTGGTGCTAATTTGCCTTCCAACTGTCGGCTCCTGACCTAGCGTTTTGGCGGGAAAGATAACCCCCGGCGTACTTTTCCTCGGAAGCCATGACTCATGCTCGTCTCTCCCAGCGGGCTAGCAAGATAAGGTTGAATCAGTCGACAACCTATCAACAAACAAGATATGTCTCAAAACATGTTTATGTCTCTGCATGTCTTAAAAGGTGATCTATATCATGTAGATAACGTTCTGTTCACCGTGCCGATTAGGAAGGCGCAGATACAACAGATAGAGTGTCTGGGGTCTTTCACAAAAATGCCTCATGTAAATTAGATGAAGGAGTGTTCACCTTGAAAATGATCCGAATGACCTTGATCTCCTGGGACAATAATTGGTATATAGAAAGATAGATGATTTTGTACCCTTGAACTAAAAGTGACCCGCTATTTCGTACATAATACATGGACCTCCCGTGTCGCATGTCCCGATCGTGTAGACAAGTAGATCCTCGGCGCCAACGCGAAATGGAGTACGTCCCACACCTGCCATAAATATATACTTGAATCTGTAGCTTTTCATTACGTAACATAGTTTCAATATATACTGTCGTAATTCGAAGTAAAGAGTATGTACATGCAAGATCGCAATACGTCTTTTTATCCTTGTCATTCGTCTTAACAATCCAAATTTGACTAACACAAAGATGTCCGGAGCAGAAAACAACCATGTTTTATTCCAACAGAGAGCCATCCAAGGTCAAGGACAATTCGTATTCACAGATCGTCCGAGGCGAACACGAGAGTTTGTGCACTGGCCCGTGATCTAACCTTTCCCTGAATAGGTTGCAGAGAGGAATAGCTGAAGTCTCGTGCTAGGTATAAAGTGGAAAAAATGAATACTAGTACTTTGCAAATCGCTGACCGGCAAGCTTCGCGTTCAAGATCATTTATCACTTTAGAGTTGTATCAGTTTCAACATTTCAACATTTGTTGGATGTATTTACCCTGATGTTTTCGGAACATACATTTTAGTGTGACACCATCCAAATCATGTTTTCTCTTCATCATATCAGGTCCTTTACAAACTTCGCTCTTTGTTTGTGAAAAGGTTAAGAAAATTTATCTACCTGGTACCTGGCAACCAAAATACGATATCGAAACATATGTTGTTGCCCGTTCAATATAAGCTGGCCAAGAGTGGCCTTGACTAAAAAAATAAAACACGAGGTATCACAGCAGAGGGCACCGGTAGATTGATTGTTTTTGTCGGCTATTGTGAGAATGGTCTCCCGCCAACGACCCTGGTGTCACAGGCCAATGCACTGCGAACTTATCTTTGTCAAAACACAGAAAAAGAAAGTCGCAATAATAAATCGGACATATGAATACCTCCTGCAGATCTGGCGTTTAGCATGGAAATTACTTAAACTGCCCAAATCAAACTGGCTTTGTCATTTGCCGAAGCATTTTGCTCACCACAAAGACAAAAATAGAAGAAAAATGACGACTGTCGTCCATGATGGAAGGGCATGGTTTTCCCGCCATTGTTCAGGGTGTTGTTTCGGGGGGTGGTGGCGTCGTCAACTTATC